AAAAAAAATAGATCATAACTAAATTTATACTATTTTTAAGCTAAAATTGTTACACGAACTCTACAGTTTAAGGGATATGTAGTAGAGTTTTAGAAACGTGGTCTTCTCTATGCTCATATTTTACTAATCCTTGTACTTGAAGATAAATTACATTCAATAGAAGATTATAATGCTATCGTTTCAGCAAAAATTCCAAACATTGCATTATATCCACTTGCTTATGAGACCATCTCAAACCTGATAATGCATGAGCCATGTGGTTCTTTGAACCTAGACTCTTTATGTATGAAAAATAGCATTTGTAAAAAACATTATCCCAAGAATTTCTAGGAACGCACTAAAGAAAGCGATAGTGGATACTCTATTTACCGCAGATGACAAAATAATCAATTTGTGGAAATTAAAAATGGCATCAGATTAGATAATAGATAGGTCATATCTTATAATCTCAAGCTGATTACAAAATATAATGCGCATATTAATGTTGAAGTCTGTAGCTCTATATTAGCTGTTAAATATTTATATAAATACGTTTACAAAGGCCATGACTACATGACTTTTATTTTTTCTTACTCTAATCAAACAGATAACCAACAACAATCTCTTGAAACTACCAAAATTGATGAAATCAAAATGTATCCCGATGCAAGATACATTTTAGCTTCCAAAAGTATCTGGAGAATTTTTTATTACAAACTGCATAACTGTTCTTCAAAAGTACAACAATTAGCAGTCTATCTTCCAGGAAATCAGCCCGTTACTTTTCAGAAAAGAGAAGATTTTTAGAATATCATTAATCATGCTAATAGTCAACAAACAACTTTGACAGCTTGGTTCAAGAGAATATAAATAATCCCGCAACACATGAATATATGTATCTTGACTTTTCTACTTACTATACTTGGACACCTAAGCATAAATGGGCACCTAGACAAATATCAGCAATTATGCTTGCAAGACTTTACATGGTACAACCTTTGGAAGGTGAATATTATTATCTTAGATGCTTACTTACTTGCGCAAAAGGTGCAACTTCTTTCTATAATCTCAGAACCATAAATGGCCATATGTATGTGACCTTCAAAGAGGCATGCTTCCTTCTAGATCTTTTTCAAGACAATGCAGAATGGGATACATGCCTGCTTGATACAAGTGTGATACAAACCAGACACCAACTACATCAGCAAATTTAATAGAGCGTAATATTGCGCAATAATTTACGAAGCATAAGAAAACCGTAATATTATGTAAAAACTTTCGCAATATTGTGAAATATACAATTACGAAATATTATGTAAGATTATTACGCAATATTACACAAGAAATTATGCAATTTTATGTAAATATTCAAAATA